TGGTTTTTATTATAAAGATGTCATTGTAGAAAGTAGAAACTCATATCATGGCCTTTTAAATATTATAATAAAGGCAAATGGATATTTGCCCTTAGTTTACTGGTTAAAAGCTTGTTTACAGAACTTTTCTTTGGTGCTTAAATGATGCTATGTAAAATGTCATGGGTAAAAAGAATAATTTTATAGTAGTAGCAGACTTTGCAAAAGATGTCAGTGGTTTTAAGAAAATATATTAAAATTAGAAACTGGACCTACTATAGAAGAATTCTAAAATGAAGACATTATACATTCTTTTTAAGTTAATCTTGTTCTTGTTAAAGATTCATTGAAATATAAATGTATGATTTCTTAAGATCATGTATTCTTTGTACCCATAACTTACAACATGTCTCTTCTAATCATAGAATGTCCTGCATAATAAAAAAAAAGAGCTGAGATAAAAAAAAAAAACCTAAGCCATAGCTATGCATATATTAGGGTTTGTTGTATCTTTTTTTTAATATCACAAACATTAAAGCATCACTTATAAAATACTGATAAATGAAAGATGTTGATGAAGTACACATGATGAGAAGAATTGGGAAAATATAAAATCACATTTTTAGTAAAGTTTAAAAATTTCATTTATAGAGGAATTAACATTCTTAATGTTTAGAAAACAGGCTAATCATGTGAAAAGACTGTTTCCAGCTCAACTTTTAAAATACAATCTCCTTGAAAATTGAGTGTTCTATTTGGAAAGTTTTTAGAAAACATAGGTGTTAAATGTTGCAAGATGTGAAGAGTTAATATTGTCACAAACATTGAGTCAAATTATATTATTGTAAAAATATCCATCTATGTTTAGAAGTTTCTTTACTGATGAAGTAAAGACTAGTGCTGGAAGACTGTTTGCTCTGAGTTAGTATGACCAAGTTTAATTTTAAGTTGTGGGTGTTTTTGTTTTTGTTTTTGTTTTTTTCCATAAAAAGGCCATGAAAATAGAGTAATAATATAGTAGGAGGTAAGGGGTAAGTTTGCCTTTTTCAGTAAAGGTAGAGTTGCTGAGGTTTTCTGGATTAATATTAGATTTAGATTGTGACCTTTTAGATTTTGTATTGCACTCTGTTGTATTATCTCCTAAAACATAATTCTTAAACATTAAGCATTAATGTGTTCTTCATGTTAATATGGCAGAGTTTTGTAAACTAAATTAAAACTTACTGATGTGCAAGACATTGAGCCACAGGAAAGAATCAATGTCATCTTCCCAGTTGTGTTAAGGTTAAAACTTATTCTAAGATGTCTGCCTTTTCAGGTTCTTAGGTCATGGCCTGCAAGGATACTTTGTGCTGGAGACAAATTGGAGGTCAAGCAGATACCAGAATTCTAATTTAAGTGTGTATACAGAAGTCCTTGTTTATAGTGTAAAATTGTTCATATTTTGTACAAAACTAATTCTTTTTGAAAAACGAAGCATTTACAGTTTGTTTTTGGACTCCTAGTCAAAGGATTTTCCTTTAAATGCCTGTCTTATTTTAGTCTAGTCTTTTGTACTTTTCCTCAGAAGAAATGAATTAAAGGGTATGTGTAGCCACATTTTTCCTAATGGATTGGGAATAAATGCTCAACTTTATTTCGCCTTTAGTTTTTTTTTTTAAATTTAAAACTTGATATTTCAGGGGTTGCAGTTTAATAATGAAGGGAGTATCTTGTATCTGACTGACTTGTAGACAACAACAGGTAGAAGCTCTTGGAGAAAATGTAAAGAGCAATGATTAGAAGACTGGAGAGCAACCCAAACCAGGCCGGAACTGTGCAAAATCCTGTGTGAGAATTAAGAGATTCATATTAACTGACTGCAGCCTTAGGGAAATTTCCAATTTGTATAGTTCACTCAGGAATTGCAGTAGAATGGGACAGTGTTGCTAGGCTGAGCAGTCATTGGGCTTCTAGAACAGCTGGAAATCTTGAGGCGGCTTCAGAGAGCAGACAGCCCAAAATCTACATTAAGAGCCTTGGTGGATTCAGAAATTCAACATGTACAATGTGATATTTAAGGGAACCCAGCCAAAAAAAAGTAGCTGCTTGTGGATACAGAGTTTGAAATTCAAGTTCCACTAAGAGGAGTTGAGTAAATACTTTGTGTTTCTCATTGAAATCCAGAAAGGACCATGTGTTAGCACTGACATTCTTAAACTAATGACAAAATGGAAAAGTCAGTGTAACAAAGCTTGAAATCAAACCTTCACAGCATCAAGAAAACGGTTTAAAAGAATGATGATTTGGTGGGTGCCGTGGCTCACTAGGCTAATCCTCTGCCTGCCACGCCGGCACCCTGGGTTCTAGTCCCAGTTGCTCCTCTTCCAGTCCAGCTCTCTGCTGTGGCCCGGGAGTGCAGTGGAGGATGGCCCAAGTGCTTGGGCCCTGCACCCTCAAGAGAGACCAGGAGAAACACCTGGCTCCTGGCTACAGATCAGTGTGGTGCGGCGGCTGCAGCGTGCCAGCCGCAGCGGCCACTGGGGAGTGAACCAATGTAAAAGGGAAGACCTTTCTCTCTGTCTCTCTCACTGTCCACTCTGCCTGTCAAAAAATAAAAGAATGATGATTTGAAGTGACACAAACCAGGTTGAAGGGGCTACCTCTGGACAAATTTGGAACAGTTAGACAATAAATCATGAACTTGTAGAAATATAAATGCATACATGCAGAAATTATAAGTGTGCTGAATGGTGGTCCTTGTACAGTCGGTCAAGCCTTGCTTGGGGTTAAGTCCCACCTCCTTTCTATCTGGCTTCCTGCTAATGGGCCTGGGAGCCAACAAATGAACTAGCAGGTGGAAGATTTTATGTCACCCTTGCCTTCGCTCCCATTCTGCCTTTCAAATAAATAAACCTGGGAAAATGTTTGATGCAGAATGAGATGTTTGGTTTCAAAGTGTCTCCCCACCGGGGAGGGGTGCTCTGGGTCCCACAGCATCCTGGGCAGGGGCTGCTCCCAGGCCAGGTGCAGCACCTGCTTCCCCGGCAGCCTGTCCCCTGACCGCTTGAGACCGAGCAGCATCCCAGCCAGCAGACCCCTCATGTGTGCTGGAAGTTCCTGACATCCTTGGGACAGCTTTCCAGAGCATATCTAGCATGAAACCTTTACTGTTCTTTCTCACAGCCCTCCCTGAAGGTGCCATTTGCTGTGTGCTCAGCTCTCCCTCACAACTGGGAAGAAGGTGCTCTTTCCATGGGTGGAATAGAAGAATGGAAGAGCCAGGGTGCGGGATGAGTCCAGACCCAGCCCAGGCCTCAACGTCAGGCAGCGCTGGACTCAGGATAACTCATGTTTGAACTGAATTTAGAACACAGGCAGGAAGCTATATTGGGGTGGTTGCATCCTGCAGATGCATCTTGTGAACTTTTTTTTTTTTTTTTTTTTTTTTTTTTTTTTTATGAGAAGCCAGAGAAAGGAGGAAGAGGATTCCAATCATTCACTCTCCATGCCCAGACTGGGCAGGACTGAAGACCAGAACCAGAAACTGAATCGAGGCCTCCCATGTGGGTAGCAGGAGCCCAGTCACCTGAGCCATCCCTGGCTGCCTCCCAGGGTCTGCACCAGCGGGAAGCTGGAGTCAGGAGCCGAAGCTGGGGCTCTAGAGCTGAGATTTTATTTAATGTCTATAAATCTGACTTCTGCTCTGGTGAGTTTTTTTTTTTTTTTTAAGATTTATTTTATTTGAAATAGTTACAGAGTGAAGTAGAGCCTGAGAGAGAGGTCTTCCATCTGCTGGTTCACTCCCCAGATGACTGCAATCGCCAGAACTGATCTGAAGCCAGGAGCCAGGAGCTTCCTCCGGGTCTCCCACATAGGTGCAGGGGCCAAGGACTTGGGCCATCCTCCACTGCTCTCCCAGGCCATAGCAGAGAGCTGGATCAGAAGTGGAGCAGGCAGGACTCCCGCTGGCGCTGCAGGCCAGGGCTATAGCCCGCTGCACCACAGCATGGGCCTCCTCTAGTAAGTTTACACTGTGATTTTTGCTTTACTTAAGAAAACTCTGAAGAAAAGATCTCTTTTACAACAGGAACAGTTGAATAGAAAGAGAAAAATGCAGATTTGCAAAATCTTTGAGAGGGACTGGCTTTAAATCAGAATTTTATTTTGAAGGCTCATTAAATGAATTAAAGCTTCCTATGGACTACTTGGTGTTTAGTCGTCTCATTTTTAAAAATCAATTTTTTCTTCAGGGAGTGGCACTGTGGTGCAGTGGGTTAAAGCCACGGCCTGTAGTGCCAGCATCCCATGTGGGCGCCAGTTTGAGTCCTGGCTGCTCCATTTTCAATGCAGCTCCCTGCTAATGTTCCCGGGAAAGCAGTGGAACGTGGAACATGCTTGGGCCCCTGCACCCATGTGGGAGACCCGAAGAAGCTCCTGGATCGTGGCCTTGGCCTGGCCCAGCCCAGTCATTGCAGTTTTTTAAGTCTCGAGCTGGATTAGGGCACAACCAGGAACCTGGAACTCCACCTCGGCCTCCCACGTGGGTGTGGGAGTCCCAGCACTTGGGCCGTCTTCCACTGCTTTCCCAGGCGCAGTAGGCTGGGAAGTGGAGCTGCCCGGACTGGAACTGGTGCTCTGAAGGGATGCAGGGCTTAACCTGCTAGGCCACATAGCTGGTTCCGACATTACTTCTATAATAAAATTAACTTTAATGAGCAACTTAGGATTTTAGGAAGTAGGTCACAGTACTCCGTAATTGGTCAGCCTTCAAATTCAACTACGGTCAACAAGATGAACCCAGGCAAATTTCTTAATCTTTTCGCTTCCTCACTTGGGAAACGGGACTATTATCTAATTCATAAGGCTAAATCACACAGTACAGGTAAAAGCGCTTCGGTTAACGCAAAGGCCTCTCGTGGCTACAAAACACCTTTTAGCCGCTCTAGCCGCCGCCTCGCCTCTATAGAACGCAGAGGTAGCCGGGAAGGGGGCGTGGCCTGGAGTCGGGACACGCACTTCCGCCCCGGAGTCTCCCGCAGCCAATCGGTCCCTGATGCCCCACCCCTTCCGCACTGGGAAAAACGAACCTCCAGAGCGTCTTCCGGCGGGAGCTGTGCGGCTCCTTATCATGGTGAGTTGCGTGAGGGTTTAGGGTTTCTATCCTCGGGGGTTCTACGTAACGTGTCTCATCCTGAAGTGGCCTGACAGTCCCTGAGCTGCCCAGCACGGAGGTCGGCGTCGTGGCGGTCGGGGCTCCCCAGGAGGAGCGGCTGTCTGTCTCCCCAAAGGTCCCCCCCAGAGCCCGATTCCCCCCGGTCCCTCACCCTGTCCCTTTGCCGCTCGGGCTCCCGGCCTTCAGCTGCGGGCGCGTTTAGGGCTTCCCCCGGGCGAAATTTCCTTGATGTAGAAATAAAAGTCGGCTGGCGTCAGCGACTGCGGTCTGAAAACATGTTCACCAGCACAACAGCGGGACAGCCGTGATGGCTAGAGCTGTGACAGCGCCGCCGGAATATAGGCTGGAGTATCGTTTTAAGGCGGACGGCTCCCTCTGCAACTTGGCTTTATTGAGTGGCAAGTTCCTTAAGCAGTGGCTGCAGAAAGTCGGGTGTTGTCGAGCGTCCTACCGCTGTTTGCAGGAACGAGGGGAAGATCCCTGCTTAGGCTGTGGTCACTGAGACGTGGAATTGCCCCTAGAATTCGTTTAGAGGGATTAACCCATTTTATGGCCTTAGAAATCGAATACGTAGATCTCTGGGTTTCATCTCAAGACAAGCAATTGATTGTGATTTCAGCCGTCAGAGCGGCGATTGCCTTTTTGAATGTGTCTGAAAAATCAGTGGTGCACCTTATTTTTAGAAGATTTATTTATTTGAAAGGCGCATATGCATATATAGAGAGGGAGAGTTAGAGAGAGATCTTCCACCTGCTGGTTCACTCCCCAAAAGGCCACAAAGGTTGGAGCTTGGCTGATCCAAAACCAGGAGCCAGGAGCTTCATGTGGGTCTCCCACATGGGTGCAGGGGCCCAGGTACTTGGTCCATCTTTTGCTGCTTTCTCAGGCACATTAGCAGGGAGTTGGATCAGAAGTGGATCACTGGGACTAGAACCGGCACCTATATGGGATGCTGGCACTGCAGGAAGTGGCTTTATCCATTTGGGCACAGCACCGGCCTCTCATGGTGCTTTTCATAAAAGCCTACAAATGAGAAAGGGACTACATTTCTGTGCCTAAGCTGTTGTCATTCAGTTTCTTGGTCTAGTGGAAACAGTCGAGAAAGTTTCTTATCAGTGTACCTCATTTTTTTTTTTTTTTTTTGCAGTTTTCTGTAGTTCTTTTGCACACAGAAAGTCTGTAAATTCATGCACATAAAGTGGGTGAAAGTTTACCTTGTTTTTCTGGTTTTTTTTTTTTTTTTTTGGCTATGGCTGTGTAACCTCCAGCTGTGCTCTTATTTAACACCCTCACTGTTGTATGGCTGGAGTTAATTTCTACAATTTGCCCATGTCATTACCTTGCTTAATTTTTTTTTTTCTGTAGACAAATGCTGGTCAACATAGAATACTGAACCATCCATAGTGAAGCTTCTGGCCTTTACAGCCTATTTTTTACATAACCACCCCCTCCCCCCTCTACCCCCCCTGCCACATGCACACGCACACACACTCACACACTCAATGGCTTGCTGATCTTACTGTATGGCCTTTGAACCTAATTTTTAAATGGTCTTCCATCCTTTTGAGTTGCTGTCTATCCCCTACCCCCATCTTTATCAGTATAATTTACAGGTCCTTAATTATTTTCCTTTCCTTGCCCCTTGCCCCTTGCCCCTTGCCCCTTTTTCTTTTCAGATTTATTTATCTACTTGAAAGAAGAAGAGGCAGAGAGAGAGAGAGAGGTCTTCTAATCCGCTGGTTCACTCCCATTTGGCCACAACGGCTGGAGCTGGCCGATCTGAAGCCAGGAGCCAGGAGCTTCTTCTGGGTCTCCCATGTGGGAGCAGGGACCCAAGTACCTGGGCCATCATCTACTGCTTTCCCAGGCCATAACAGAGAGCTATTTCGGAAGTGGAGCAGCCAGGACACAAACTGGGGCCCATATGGGATGCTGGTATTCAGGTGGCTGCTTTACCTGCTAAGCCACAGTGCTGGCCCCTCCCTAATTCTTTTTCATAGGCCTAACCCCAAGGTCCAAATACCTTGTTAGGTGCTTCTCTTTTATACATTGATGATGCTTTTTTCTTCTTTCAGTTAACTTTTTTGAAAGGCAGAGTGACACACAAAGAGAGAGTGTCCGCATCTGATGGTTCACTCCCGAAATGGCCTGGGGTTGGCCAGACCAAAGCCTGGAGCCAGGAACTCCAATTGGGACTCCCATATGAGTGGCAGGGGCCCAAGTACTTGGGCTACTTCTGCCTGTTTTCCCAGGCACATTGTCAGGGTGCTGGATCAGAAGTAGGGCAGCTGAGACTCAAACCCACACTCCAGTGTGGGGCACTGGAATTGTAAGCCCTGGCTTAATCTGTTGTGCTACAATGTCAGCCTCACTTGATGCTTTTTTTTTTTTTTTTTGACAGGCAGAGTGGACAGTGAGAGAGAGACAGAGAGAAAGGTCTTCCTTTGCCGTTGGTTCACCCTCCAATGGCCGCCGCGGCCGGCGCGCTGCGGCCTGCGCACCACGCTGATCCGATGGCAGGAGCCAGGAGCCAGGTGCTTTTCCTGGTCTCCCATGAGGTGCAGGGCCCAAGCACCTGGGCCATCCTCCACTGCACTCCCTGGCCACAGCAGAGGGCTGGCTTGGAAGAGGGGCAACCGGGACAGAATCCGGCGCCCTGACCGGGACTAGAACCCGGTGTGCTGGCGCCGCTAGGCAGAGGATTAGCCTAGTGAGCCGTGGCGCCGGCCTTTTTTTTTTTTTTTTTAATAGGTAAGCAACTGGGGCCAATGCTGTGGTATATAGCAGATTAAGCATCCTGTAGCACAGGCATCCCATATGGGTACTGGTTCAAGTCCTGGCTGCTCCTCTTCCAGTCCAGCTCCATCCTAATGGCCTGGGAAAGCAGTAGAAGATGGTCCAAGTGCTTAGGCCCCTGTACCCACCTGGAGACCTGGAGAAAGTTCCTAGCTCCTGGCTGCGGATCAGCCCAGCCCTGGCCATTGCAGCTATTTGAGGAGTATACCAGTGGATGGAAGACCTCTCTTCCCCCTAACTCTGCCTGTAAAATAAATAAATAAATCTTAAAAAAAATAAAATAGATAAGCCACAGTTTTGTCACATAAAGCATCACAAAGTGCTTACATATCATGAAAACCTACCTTGGCCTAAAATGCTTGTGAAGGGATCTGAAGGTGGAGGGATAAGAAATTATTAAAATTCAGAGATTTTTCAGTTTATACAACTTCGTTAACTCACAGCTTTAATTTGATAGTTACATTTGGATACCATGTGTCTCTGTGATTAACATGTAGCCCCTGCCACAGGACTTTGAAGTTGTGTGTTTAGTTGTGTTCTCACTTCCTAGGCTGTAAGCTCCTTGGGAGCAGGACCTGCATATTTGACTAGTATTCCTAGTGTTCTGTAGCGGCTAGTCTAGGGGAATTTTTCAATAAATATCTATTTTCTAAAACACTAAATAAGCTATGGCACTACATTTTGTGCTTGAAAAATTAGTATTAATAATATAGGGAGAAGCCACTGTGGCGTAGTGGGTAAAGCCGCTGCCTGCAGTGCTGGCATTCTATATGAGTGTTGGTTCGAGTCCCAGCTGCTCCACTTCCAATCCTGCTCTCTGCTAAGGCCTGGGAAGGCAGTAGAAGATGTCCCAAGTCCTTGGGCCCCTGCACCTCATGGGAGACCTGGAAGAAGCGCCTGGCTTCAGATTGGCACAGCTCCAGCCATTGTGGCCAGTTGGGGAGTGAGCCAGCAGATGAAAGCCCCCGCCTCTCTTTCGCTCTTTGTGTAACTCTGACTTTCAAATAAATAAATAAATCTCTAAGAAAAAAAGACTTCTTTCTTTCTCTCCTTCTCTGTGTAACTGACTTTTCAATACAATAAATAAATCTTAAATCTTTAAAAAATAATATAGTGAAAATAGCATTTAACTTTTTTTAAAATATTTTTATTTGTTTTTTTGAGAGGTAGAGTTACAGAGAGAGAGAGAGAGAGAGAGAGAGAGGTCTTCCATCCTCTGGTACAGTCCCCAAATGTCTGCAGCGGCTAGAGCTAGGTGCTTCTTCTGGGTCTCCCACATGGGTGCAGGGCTATCTTCCATTGCTTTCCCAGGCCATAAGCAGAGAACTGGATTGGAAGAGGAGCAGCCAGGACATGAACCAGTGCCCATATGGGATGCTGGTGCCACAGGCAGAGGCTTAGCCCACAAGGCCATAGCTCTGGCCCTTTAACTTTTTTGTTGTTGTTGTTAAAGGTTAGTAGGAAAATGGTTTCTTGAGCCATTCTTGTGTTATGTATTAAGGACATGCTATGTGTATAACCATGCTTTCTTAGAACATGTAGGCAATTTGTCCTTATCAATTATGAAGTTAATTTAGAGGCCAGGGCTGTGGTGCATTGGGTTAACGCCCTGGCATGAAGTGCCAGCATCCCATATGGGCACCAGTTCTAGTCCCGACTGCTCCTCTTCCAATCCAGCTCTCTGCTATGGCCTGGGAAAGCAGTAGATGATGGCCCAAGTGCTTGGGCCCCTGCGCCTGTGTGGAAGACCCAGAGGAAGCTCCTGGCTCCTGGCTTCAGATTGGCGCAGCTGCAGCCATTGGGGAATGAACCATCGGATGGAAGACATCTCTCTTTCTCTCTCTACCTCTCCTCTCTCTGTGTAACTCTGACTTTCAAATAAATAAATAAATCTTTTAAAAAAAAGTTAATTTAAAAAAAAAAACATACAAGTCAAGATAACAAGATAAAGGCAATCCTATGGTCAACTACATTATCAGTACCACAAATGAAAATGATCTTGGAAGGCTTAATGTAGGGGGTGAAGCATGAAACTTTTTAGCCCTATTCTAATGACATTAACCTAATATTCATTTCTCTCACTTATATAAGGAAAGAGGCTGTTACAGGGCTAGTAGAGCTTGGATGAGACAGTTCTGGCCTTTGCACTCAAGAGAGGTGTGATCATGAGTCAAGGGGTAGTCCAGTTTGGCTGGAGTTCAAGGTTTCTCTCTGAAGTGAGGTAAGATTGGAAGGAACAGGCTAAGTAGTTCAAAGATAAAAATTTCAGGTTGTAAAATTTGGAGTTTATCCTGGTAGGGAGAGCAAATAACAATATTGGAAACTGTTATGACCATTAGGATTTTTGTTTTATTTTCAATATCAAAATGGCGTAAGAACCTTGCTAATTCTCTTGTTGGCTGGTAGTCAGGGACAACAGCAGTACTAAGCACAATCTATCTTTGGGACCAAGAAAAATCCCCCCTCCCACAGTTCTTTTTTTTTTTTTTTTTTTTTTTTTTTTGACAGGCAGAGTGGACAGTGAGAGTGAGAGACAGAGAGAAAGGTCTTCCTTTGCCGTTGGTTCAGCCTCCAATGGCCGCCGCGGCCGGCGCGCTGCGGCCGGCGCACCGCACCGATCCAATGGCAGGAGCCAGGAGCCAGGTGCTTTTCCTGGTCTCCCATGGGGTGCAGGGCCCAAGCACCTGGGCCATCCTCCACTGCACTCCCTGGCCACAGCAGAGGGCTGGCCTGGAAGAGGGGCAACCGGAACAGAATCCGGCGCCCCGACCGGGACTAGAACCTGGTGTGCCGGCGCCGCTAGGCGGAGGATTAGCCTAGTGAGCCGCGGCGCCGGCCCCCACAATTCTTTAAGGAAGGAATATTTCTATTAACACTAACAACATCTCAAATGAAAATAGTATTTTTTTTTTATCTTTTAAAGATTTATTTATTTATTTGAAAGAGTTACACAGAGAGAGGAGAGGCAGAGTGAGAGAGAGGTCTTTCATCTGCTGACTCACTCCCCAGTTGGTCCAATGGCTAGAGCTGTGCCCATCTGAAGCCAGGAGCTTCCTCCCGGTCTCCCACATAGGTGCAGGGGCCCAAGAACCTGGGCCATCTTCTGCTACCTTCCCAGGCCATAGCAGAGAGCTGGATTGGAAGTAGAGCAGCTGGGACTCAAACTGGCGCCCATATGGGATGCTGGCACTGCAGGCGGCGGCTTTACCTACCGCACCACAGCACTAGCCCCAGAATTGTTTCTTTTAAACTGGACTAACTTAGCAGAACCTTAGGGTTTGGGCTGGCGCTGTGATTGACGCCCTGCCCTGAAGTGCCGGCATCCCATATGGGTGCCAGTTCCAGACCCAGCTGCTCCACTTTTGATCTAGCTCTCTGCTATGGCCTGGGAAAGCAGTAGAAGATGGTACAAGTCACTGGGCCTCTGCACCTGTGTGGGAGACCCGGAAGAAGCTTCTGGCTCCTGGCTTCAGATCAGGGCAGCTCTGGCTGTTGCAGCCATCTGCGGAGTGAACCAGCGGATGGAAGACTTTTCTCCCTCTGCTTCTCCTCTCTCTGAGTAACTCTGACTTTCAAATAAATAAATCTTTTTTTTTTTTTTTTTTTTTTTTGGCAGGCAGAGTGGACAGTGAGAGAGAGAGACAGAGAGAAAGGTCTTCCTTTTGCCGTTGGTTCACCCCCCAATGGCCACCGCAGCCAGCGCATCACGCTGATCCGAAGCCAGGAGCCAGGTGCTTCTCCTGGTCTCCCATGCAGGTGCAGGGCCCAAGCACTTGGGCCATCCTCCACTACACTCCCGGGCCATAGCAGAGAGCTGGCCTGGAAGAGGGGCAACTAGAACAGAATCCGGCACCCCAACCAGGACTAGAACCTGGTGTGCCGGCTCCGCAAGGCAGAGGATTAGCCTATTGAGCCACGGCGCTGACCTCAAATAAATAAATCTTTAAACAAACAAACAAAAAAAGAACCTTAGGGTTAACACATACACTGGTCTTTATTTGGATATAAAAATTATGCTTCTAATGCCTTTTTAAAAAATTATTTTTTATTTATTTGAAAGAGTTAAAGAGAGGAAGAGACAGCGAGAGAAAAAAATTTCTTCCATCTGCTGGTTCATTCCCCAAATGGCTGCAATGGCCAGGGCTGGGGCAAGTTGAAGCCAGGAGCCAAGAGCTTCTAATGGGTCTCTCACATGGGTGCAGGGGCCCAAGTACTTGCGCCATCCTCTGCTGCTTTCCCAGGCCATCAGCAAGGAGCTGGATCCGAAGTTGAGCAGCTGGGACTTGAAAATGTGCCAGTATGGGATGCAGTACTGCAGGCAGCGGCTTAACATGCTGTGCCACAACGCTGGCCCCTCAATATACAGCTCTTAATTGAGTCATTTGTCTTTTAGTTTGTAGAAGCACTATGGATAGAGAAATTGGCACGTTGTTCATCATGAATTACAGGTTTTTCCACAATTTTTCTTCCCTAGGGTTTTTCTTTTTCTTTTTCCTCTAGGGTATTATAATCCCATACAGAAATATGTAGTATATAGTTAGATAATTTTTTCTCTTTATAGCTTCTTGTTTTTATACTTATTAAGAAAGTTCTCTCCAGCTCCAGTATTTTTAAATTATACATATTTACTTTTTAGAAGTACTTTATAGTTTTTTTATTTTTCAAATAATAAAGTAAGGAATATAGGAAGGATGCAACATTACACTTACTGGATTATTTATTGACTAGCTCATATTTTCTCCCACTGATACTAGATACTGCCTTTATTTTTGTTTGTTTAACAAGATTTATGTATTCATTTGAAAGGCAGAGATACAGAGAGGAGAGAGAGACATCTTCCATCCTCTGGTCTACTCCCCAGATGGCCACTATGGCTAGTGCTGGACCAAGCCGAGGTTCCCAGTCTCCCACATGGGTGGCAGAGGCCCAGGGACTTGGACTGTCTTCTACTGCCTTCCCAGGCACATTAGCAGGGAGGTGGATTGGAAATGGAGGAGCTAGATCCGAAGTGGAGCAGCCAGGACTGGGACTGGTGCCCATATGGTATGCTGGCACTGCAGGAGGCAGCTTAACCTTCTACCCCACAGGGTTGGCCCCTGGATACTGCCTTTATTATAAGTAGTATAGTTTCTCATTTGAGCTTGAGCTCTCGATTTTGCTAAGGCTCCCCACTTGCTTTGCTACACATTGGTGGGGAGTCCCATGTAGTTGCCACTTGATTTCCTTTCTCACTGTAATTCAGCTAAGCCCATTCCATGCTCGTCCCATACTGTGCGCCAGCAGGGGCACAGACACTAGTGAGGGTGTCAGACACTTTGAAAGCCCCAGAGAGAACCACAGGAGTTTGACTGTAATAATAGTTGCCAGAACTTTTGTGTGTGTGGCTTTAACCATAACCGTAGTATTACTTTTTCTTAGTAGAGCTCCTTGGCATACCGTTTTGTTTCACCTTGCCTTATCCATTTATAATAGAGTGTGGGCCTTCACTTGAATTCCTTCTTAGCTGTTTACTTTCAGTATGACTTTGGACAACTTTAGAAAGCATTGTTTCTTCCTCATAGGGCTGTTGTAAATCAGTACATACATGCAAGAGTGTAGTGTAAGTGCTTGGCACTTGTTGACTGCTCAGTCTGTGCTAGTTGTTGTTACTACTGTATCACATCCCAGGACCTCTGCAGAACAGTAGTCACTTGAATGCTGACTTGTATGTATTTTATTTTAAAGGGGACAATTCATCTCTTTCGAAAACCACAAAGATCTTTTTTTGGCAAGTTATTACACGAATTTAGACTTGTAGCAGCCGACCGAAGGGTAAGTATTCCTTAACTCTAATTTTAACTATTGCACAAAAAAATCCAGTAATAGTAAGAAAGAAAATAATAATTTTTAAGGCAAATCGAAATCACTCTCAATCCTACTACAGTTTGAATTTTTTCCATGTTAGACCAGTATTTTTTAAGTGTAAAATTGCTGTTGTTTGTTGTGCTTTTGATTTGCTTTGGTGGGAGGAAGCAAGGCTTCAGTTAAAGTTTTTTTTCAGATTCTGAAGTGTTTTAAGGAAACTTTTTTTGTAACTTTTTTAAAGATTTATTTATTGGAAGAGTTACAGAGAGAGAGGGAGAGACAGAAATCTTCTATCGCTGGGTCACTCCCCAGGTGGCTGCAACAGCTGAGACTGGGCCAGGCCGAAGCCAAGAGCTTCCTCTGGGTCTCCCACATGGATGGCAGGGGCCCAAGCCTTCCTCCACTACTTTCCCAGGCCATTAGCAGGGAGCTGGATTGGAAGTGGAGCAGCTGGGACTTGAACTGTTGCCCATATGGGACCTGGTGGCACAGTGGCTTTTACCCGCTATGCCACAACGCTGGCACCATGTTTTGCAATTTTTTTGAAAATAATGTTCTTGGGGCTGTGATGCAGCTGATTAAGTTGTGGCCTGCCATACCAGCTTCCCATGAGTGCTAGTTTGAGTCCCAGCTGCTCCACTTCCAATCCAGCTCCGTATTGGTGTGCATGCTGGGGCTCCAGAGATGGCTCAAGTGCTTAGGCCTTTACCACCCACATGGGAGACCAGAAGAAGCTCTTGGCTGCTAACTTCAGCTTGGTCCAGGCCTGGCCATTTCAGCCATTTGGGAAGTAAACCAGTGGATCTCTCTGTCCTTCTGTCTCTGTTATTTTACCTTTAAAATAAATAAATTAGTCTTTTTTCATACAAATTTTATGTGATAGACATAGAAACAAGGAAATGTAGAGAGACAGACAGATACAGAATGCGTGAATGCTCCCCAGATTCCTGCAGTGGCTGAGACTGGGCCAGTCTGAAGCTGAGTACCAGGAACTCAGTCCAGGTCTCCCATATGGGTGGCAGGAACCCGATTACTTGAGCCATCACTGGCTGCCTCCCTGGTTCTACCTTAGCAAGAAGCTGGCTTCAGGAGCTGAAGCCAGGTAATTATTAGCATTAATCGCACCTCTGATATAGCTCACTGGTTGCGATACTGCCACCGTGCAAAACTCTTGTGTCATAATTATATGTTCCATTTTCAGAAGTTAATTCGTTCTGGGTCTCCTTTTTATTTATTTTTTTAAAAGCTTTATTTATTTGAATGGTAGAGTGACAGGAGAGGCAGAGAGAAAGAGAAATCTTCCATTCTTGATTCCCTCCTCAAATCCTGCAACAGCCAGTGTGGGCCTGGCTAAAGCCAGTAGCCCAGAGCTCCATTCAAGTCTCCCACAAGAGGGACTGGGACCCAACTACTTGGGACGTCATCCAGTGTCTTCCCAGGTACATTAGTGGGAATCTGACTTGGAAGCAGAGTAGAATAAACTCAAACAGGCTCTCTGAAATGGAATGTAGGTGTCCCAAGCAGCAGCTTAACCTGGTGTGATGCAAAATTAAACCGGTATAGCTTTAGAGGTAATTAGGTATAAGACAGAATGGTCTTTGAACTCAGATGGAAGATAGAGGTTTAAAAAGGAACAAGAAAAGAAGTATAAGATGATTGAACGGACATGGAAATTGTTAGCTTGAAAGAAGTGAAGAGTGCACTTAGCTAATAGCCTACAACTTTCTAGAAAAGTAGCCTCAAGTCCATTTACAAAACTTAATATTGTAAAGTGGGACTCAAAACAGAGGATAACCTGCAGAAGGGCTGTCATGATGATCTGTCTCTCTGCCTCTGTCTCTCTCATGCTGCCTTTCAAATAAATTAATAAATATTTTTTAAAAACTTGCTTCCAAGTAACTGTCTTTTTGCTAATTTCTTTCCCCTCTAAAGAAGCATAGGTTTTCTTTCTTTTAGGAAGTAGGGCAGAACAAAATTAAAAAGCACTTTTTGATTTCTTCTTCCATTGGTTTTGGAGTGCTCTTCCTCCTCCCTCTGTCTGGCTACATCTTAGCTGTCAAGGCTTATCTCAGGTCTTTCCATTTCTCAGAACTTCTAAACTGGGATTGTCCCCTCCTCTGCAGTTCTATCTTGTATGCCTTATTTGATAAATAGAAAGTAGCATGATTAGTGTAACACCATCATGTCTTATCAGATTCACCAGTTGCTTATATTTTATCCTCTTTGCTTTATTCTTGTCTCTGTATGCATTTTTTTTTTTTTTTTTTGACAGACAGACAGAGTGGACAGTGAGAGAGAGAGACAGAGAGAAAGGTCTTCCTTTGCCGTTGGTTCACCCTCCAATGGCCGCTGCGGCCGGCGCGCTGTGGCCGGCGCACCGTGCTGATCCGATGGCAGGAGCCAGGAGCCAGGTGCTTTTCCTGGTCTCCCATGGGGTGCAGGGCCCAAGCACTTGGGCCATCCTCCACTGCACTCCCTGGCCATAGCAGAGAGCTGGCCTGGAAGAGGGGCAACCGGGACAGAATCCGGCGCCCCAACCGGGACTAGAACCCGGTGTGCCGGCGCCGCTAGGCGGAGGATTAGCCTAGTGAGCCGCGGCGCCGGCCCTCTGTATGCATATTTATAAAGAAAATGATGTATGTACAGATGCATTTTTTTCTTTACTATTTGAGAAGTTCTATGTAAGAATTGATTTTCTCTTGAGTCCTTCTGAAATTACTGTTTTAGATTTGTGTATTAAAGTAGTAACTTGCTGGATAGAGCTATAGAAAATGTGACAGAGACTTTTTGGAGGAAGTTGTGTTTAGTCCTTTGCGTATCAGAGTATAAATTAAACCAACTTGAGATGTACTGTACAAATAAGAGTGACTTTGTTTTTTGCAGTCCTGGAAGATCCTGCTCTTTGGTGCGATAAACTTGATATGTACTGGCTTCCTGCTTATGTGGTGCAGTTCCACTAATAGTATAGGTATATTTTCATTTTCATGGAGTTGTTTATTAATTTCACTCATTCTGATTTTAAATAAAGAGACATCTTCTTTACATAGGCTATTATTCTAAAATATATAATATATATAACTCTAGTGATTTAAATGAGAATATGCCCCATAAAGTCTGTTGATCTGTTACTACATTATCATTTTAAATAAGATGTTATTAAAGAAAGCAAACTTTTGAATCTATTGTGAAATAGACTTGTTTTTCTTTTTCTTTTCCCTTTTTTTTTTTTTTTTTAAGGTTTACTTATTTATTTGAAATGCAGAGATACAGAGAGGGAAAGAGAGAGAAAGAGGGAGAGAAAGAGAAATCTTCTGTCTGTTGGTTCACTTCCCAATGGCCACAACAGTTGGGAGCTTCATCAGGGTCTCCCATGTGGGTGCAGGGTCCCAAATACTTGGCCCATCTTCTTCTGCTTTCCCAGGGGCATTAGCAGAGAGCTGGATCGGAAGTGGAGCAGCTGGGTCTTGAACTGGTGCCCATTTGGGATGCCAGCACTGCAGGCAGAGGCTTAAGCTTTGCTACAGTTCTAGCCCCGAGATTTCTTTTTAACAAGATGGATTAAAACTTGAATGTAGGAATAAGTGTTGTGGCACAATGGGTTAGGCTGCTGCCTGTGATGCTAGCATTCCGTATGATGTGCTGGTTCAAGCTGGTTTAAGTTCTGGATGAGCCATATCCCATCCAGCCCCAGCTCCCTGTTCATATACTTGAAAAAACAGCAGATGATGGCCTAAGTACATGTCCGCAGCTACCCACGTGGGAAACCAGGATGGGGTTATGGGTTCCTGGCTTCAACCTGGCCCAACGCCAGCCACTGCAGCCTTTTAGGGAGTGAGCCTGCAGATGAAAGCGTTCTCTCTCTCTCTCTCTCTCTCTCTCTCTCTCTCTTTCTCTCTTTCTGTCTCTCTGTCTCTCTGTCTCTCTTTCTCTCTCACTTTCCTTCTCTGTTACTCTGCCTTTCAAATAAATAAATAAATCAATCTTTTGACAACCTTTAATTTATATAGTTTATATAAGATTTTGAGGTTTGCTTGCTTTTACTTAAAAAGGGAATTTTTTGTGTGTGTGATCTTGACCTTCTATGATTTTATGCTTCATTAGTTTCTTCTTGCTATTGAAATAATGCACTTAAAGTAGTACTGAAAGCAGATAGAAAAATAGCCACAGGCCTTTTGTGTATTTATTGCTTCATTTCTGAAGATAGAGAAATCCAGTTCTAAAGGAAGGTTTTATGCTAACAGCCTTGGCTGTTTAATAAACAAAATTTATTAGGAGTTGCCTATATGAGATTGGCCATGACTCAAAACATTTTTTTTTTTGTTAATGGATGCTCTTGTTATGAACAGTTTTATAGACTGGTTATATTTTCTTAAGAAAAATTTCCATAACATTTTTTTCTTTAGAGTTAGAGAGAGAAACAGATAGACAAAGGCATTCCCAACTGCTGGTTCACTCACCAAATGCCTGCAACAACTGGGGCTGGATCAGGCCAAAAGCCTAGGCCACCCACATGGTTGGCAAGAACACAGTTAATGTGAGCCAGCACTGCTGCCTCACAGTTCTGCTCCAGAAGCAGAGCTGGCATTCAGATCCAGGTGCACTGACATGGGATGTGGGCATCCTAGCCAATGTTATAACTGCTGGGCCAACTGCGTGCCCCCTTAGTGCCATTTTAATCCGTCTTTTTGTTGTTTTGCAGCTTTAACTGCCTATACCTACCTGACCATTTTTGATCTTTTTAGGTAAGTTTTAGAAAGACTCTGTGATGTTTTAGAACCAATAAGGAATTGATTGCATTGAATTTATGGAGAAGTTTTTTTTTTTTTTTTTTTTTTTAAGATTTATTTATTTATTTGAAAGGCAGAGTTACAGAGAGGCAGAGACACAGAGAATGAGAGAGAGAGGTTTTCCATCTGCTGGTTCACTCCCCAGATGGCCACAATAGTCAGAGCTGGGCCAATCTGAAGCCAGGAGCCAGGAGCTTCTTCCGGGTCTCCTATGCGGGTTCAGGGGCCTAAGGACTTGGGCCGTCTTCTACTGCTTTCCCAGGCTATAGCAGAGAGGTTCGGAAGTGGAGCAGCCAGGACTCGATCCAATGCCCATATAGGATGCTGGCACTGCAGGCAGTGGCCTTTCCTGCTACACCAGAGCGCTGGCCACAAGTTTTCTTTGCTTAAGCAAACTATCAATATAGGACATATAAACAAGAGACATATGGAAGAAAATATATAATTAAACAGAAATAAAAAAGAATAATAACAAGGCATAAAAAGATATGTATACATTCTGTATAAAGAAAACTTCAAGGTAATTCTGAAGGGCTAGAAAAGACCTGACAAAATGGAAAGATAAACCATGTTCTTAGAAACACTTGAAATCATAACATGTCAATTGTCCCTAATTTAGCAAACTAAATGAGCTTATTCTAAGTTCACAGTAGTTCCCCCTGATCTGTGATTTCATCTCCTGTAATTTTATTTTCCAATAGCTTCAGTTATCTGCAGTTAACCATAATCTGAAAATATTAAATGGAAAATTCCAGAAATAATAATTTTAAATTGCATACTGAGTAGCATGATGTACTGTCCCACTCACTGCATCCTGCCTATGAACCATCTCTTTGTCTAGTGTATCCACATTATATATACTTCCCATCCTTGATTGCCTAGTTGTCCTCTGGGTTATCAGATTAAATCATGGTGTTGCAGTGCTCACATAGTAGCCTGCTGTAGATCCTATGTCATTTATCTCACTTTGTCTCACATGTAGACATTGTATCGTTGCTACATCATGACAAGAAAAAGAGTACAGTCTAATAAGATATTTTGAGAGAGTCCACAATCATATAACATTTTTTTAATCTTATAATTTTTCTTTAAAGATTTATTTATTTATTTGAGAGGCAGAGTTACTGACAGAGAAGGGGATAGACAGAGAGAGAGAGGTATTCCATCCACTGGTTCACTTTCCAAATGGCCACAACAATAGGAGCCATGCTGATCTGAAGCCAAAAGCCAAGAGCTGCTTCCAGGTCTCTGCACACGTGGGTGCAGGGGCCCAAGCAATTGGGCCATTTCCACTGCTTTCCCAGGCCCTTAGCAGGGAGCTGGGTCAGAAGTGGAGCACCTGGAACTTGAACTGGCACTCATATGAGTTGTTGCAGGCGATGGCTTAACCTACCACACCACAGTGCCAACCCCTCATAGAATTTTTATTACAGCATATTGTTATAATTATTATATTTATAATAATAATAGTGTTGTCCATTTATTATAGACTATTATAGGTAGATATGGACAAGAAAAAACAGTATAGAGAGTGTGGTACTATCTGTGCTTTTAGGTATTCACTATGGATCTTGAAACATCCCTCACAGATAAGAGGAGAGTACTGTATAAGAAAAAAAATAAACAAAATAAAAAGTTGAATAATAGACCTATACTTGGCCAGTGCCGCAGCTCATTAGGCTAATCCTCCACCTGCGGTGCCAGCACACTGGGTTCTAGTCCCGGTTGGGGCACCGGATTCTGTCCCGGTTACTCCTCTTCCAGTCCAGCTCTCTGCTGTGGCCCAGGAAGGCAGGGGAGGATGGCCCAAATGCTTGGGCCCTGCACCCACATGGGAGACCAGGAGGAAGCACCTGGCTCCTGGCTTCTGATCTGCACAGCGCGCCGGCCACCATGCACCGGCCATAGTGGCCACTTGGGGGTTGAACCAACGTAAAAAGGAAGACCTTTCTCTCTGTCTCTCTCACTGTCTAACTCTGCCTGTAAAAAAAAAAGTACACCTAAACTCTTTTTTTTTTTTTTTTTTTATCTGACAGGTAGAGTTATAGACAGTGAGAGAGAGACAGAGAGAAAGGTCTTCCTTCCGTTGGTTCACCCCGCAAATGGCCGCTACAGCCGGTGCTACATTGATCAGAAGCCAGGTGCTTTCTCCCGGTCTCCCATGCAGGTGCAGGGACCCAAGCACTTGGGCCATCCTCCACTGCCCTCCCGGGCCACAGCAGAAAGCTGGAGTGGAAGAGGAGCAACCAGGACTAGTACCTGTTGCCCCAACCGGGATTAGAACCCGGAGTGCTGGACCACAGGTGGAGGATTGGTGAGCCACGGCACCAGCCCCGAGACTTAAACTCTTAAGAGAATTTAACATGTGGAAAATACTTAAAGATGACACAGAACTTAGAAGTCAAAAAATATCACTGAGTCCAGTTGTATTAAAATTTGAAAATCTGTATAGCTGATATCAGGAAGTCTAGCATGGTCCAATAGAGCCTGGGACAGGAATACATGATGAGAATGTCTTCTCAGGGGCCAGCGCTGTGGTGTAGCAAGTAAAGAAGCCACCACCTACAGTGCTAACATCCCATATGGGTGCCAGTTCAAGTCCCGGATGCTCCACATCTGATCCAGCTCTCTGCTGTGGCCTGGGAAAGCAGTAGAAGATGGCCCAAGTTCTTGGGCCCCTGCACCCACATGGGAGACCTGGAAGAAGCTCCTGGCTCCTGGCTTCAGATCGGCCCAGCTTCAGCCGTTGCAGCCATTTGGGGAGTGAACCAGCAGGTGGAAGACCTCTGTCTCTGCCTCTGCCTCTCTGAAACTCTGCCTTTCAAATAAATCTTAAAATAAATATGAATGTCTTCTCATTAATCAGATAACTAAATCTATGTAAGTTGGTCTGAAATAGACAGTTGTTACCTGAGTGTCACACTGTAGTAAGTTGTTTGGGACTGAATCCCTGGTATACTTGAAAAGTCAGTATGATTTTACCCCTTCCAGAATGTTGTCAAGGTTATAGTACATGAATTTTTAACAAAAATTCAATAAATCTAATTAAAATTAAAATTCATTGTATATGCACACAATAAAATATATTACCATTAATATTGTGTGTTTTAGCATTATCTATTATGGAAATCATTTAGAATTGATAACATTGTTTGAATAGAGAAAACAGGAGTTTAGGTTCTAATTATCTGACTTAATAATGTATTATAACCTACTTCAATTTCTTCCCATGTTAAAACTGTCATCTTCCAAATACACCAAATATTAGAATATTATAATTATTTATTTAGTATGTACAAACACTGGTAACTTCCAGCAACTTAGGAATTCTGAAAACTTAATTTCTCTGTGTTCTTGTCTAGCTCTAGTTATAATACTAAATTCATTTTTCTTTTCATTTAGCTTAATAACATGTTTAATAAGTTACTGGGTAATGATGAGGAAACCTAGCCCTGTCTATTCATTTGGGTAAGTTCAAATTACTTCATTTTCTGCTGACATATTGCTATTAAAATAATAGTTACAGTGAGCAGGAAAGAGCTTGTGAGAGTATTTGTGGAAAACAAATGCTGCCTGCTAAGTTAAGTAGTGATCAAAAAGTAATGGTGGGGTTGCATGTTTGGCATACTGATTAAGATGCTGTTTGATATGCTGCATCCTATATCATAGTGCCTTTGTTTGAGTCAGCTCTGCTCCCAATGCCAGATTTCTTAATACAGACACTGAGAAACAGCGTGTGTTGGCTTCAGTAACTAAGTCCCTGCCTTCCACGTGGGAGATCTGAGTTGAGTTCTTATCTCCTTACTTCTACCTGGCCATGTTCTGGCTGTGCAGGCATTTGGGGAGTGAACATGTGCATGGGAGATCTCTCTTTCTGCCTTCCAAATAAATAAAAATAAAAATAGTGAAAGTAAATAGAAAAGCGTTTTCCAAGAAATCTGTTAGTAATGTAATTCATATATTTTTTTAGAACATTTTTTTTTTTTTGACAGGCAGAGTTAGACAGTGAGAGAGACAGAGATAGAGAGAAAGATCTTCCTTTTTCCGTTGGTTCACCCCACAAGTGGCTGCTACAACTGGCGCGCTGCGCTGATCCAAAGCCAGGAGCCAGGTGCTTCCTCCTGCACCCACATGCTCCCATGAGCATGTGGGTGCAGGGCCCAAGCACTTGGGCCATCCTCCCCTGCCTTCCTGGGCCACAGCAGGGAGCTGGCCTGGAAGAAGAGCAGCAGGGACAGAATCCAGCGCCCCAACCGGGACTAGAACCCAGGGTGCTGGCGCTGTAGGTGGAGGATTAGCCTAGTGAGCCGCGGCGCCGGCCCTGATTTTTTTTATTTATTTGAGAGTTAGAGAGAGAGGTGGAGGCAGAGGTCTCTATCCATTGGCTCACTCTGTAGATGGCCTCAACAGCTAGGGCTGGGCCAGGCCAAAGCCAGACACTTTATCTAAGTCTACCGTGTGTGTGGCAGGGACCCAAACACCTAGACATCTTCTTCTGCCTTTCCCAAGCCATTAGCAGGGAGCTGGATCAGAAGTGGAGTAGCAGGACACGAACTGTTTCCCATATGGGATGCAGGTGTCTCAGGCAGCAGCTTTACCCACCACACCACAGTGCTGGCCCCTATGTAAATCGTATTGAATCAAATTTTCACATTAGATTCTTTGATATTTTATAAACATAAAATTATATAACAAAGTATATTTTATAATTTTACAGTAAATATAAAATTATACAATTGAAATGTTTACTTTAAGTTCTTTAATATTTTCTGAATATCTTGTTTAGAGAAAATACAAAAGATTTTCATGTAAGTGTACTATTTATAGATTAAGTAGATGGGATTTTTGTTTAAAAACATTAATTTGGGTGGGAGGGACGTTATAGGGGGGAAGCCATTGTAATCCATAAGTTGTACTTTGGAAATTTATATTCATTAAATAAAAGTTTAAAAAAAAACATTAATTTATTAGAGTGTGCAGAGAGTGCTCCATCCACTGGTTCACTCCCCAGCTGTCCATAGGGCTGACACCCAAGCCCTATTTACAGGGTCTGTATTAGGAAGCTGCAGTTAGGGGTTGCAGTGCATTAACTGCGAGGCCTAATGCTTGCTCCAATGTGATATATTTTGATGCAATGGACCATCAAAAAGTTTGTGGAAAATGTGTATTATAAAAAAAACTTTGCAGAGATTTCAAATTTTTTTGCACCAAAATAAGGTGTTTTTTCAATTTTTCATGAATTTTTTAAAAATTTTATTATTTTCAAAGATCTATTTATTTGAAAAGCAGAGTTACAGAGAGAAAGAGAGAGAGAGGGAGAGGTCTTCCACCCACTGTTTTACTGCCCAAATGGCCACAGTAGCCAGAGCTGGGCTGATACTAAGCCAAGAGCCTGGAGCTTCTTCTGGATCTCCCACATGGGTGCAGGGGTCCAAGGATTTGGGTCATCTTGCACATAATGCACCTGGGACACAGTGGATGGTGGTCCAAGTATTTGGGTTCCTGCCACTCTCCTGGGGAACCCAGATGGAGTTCATGACTATTGGCTTTGGGCTGGCCCAGCTCTGATTGTTGCAACTATGTGGGGAGAGAACCAGCGGATGAAAGATCTCTTCCTCTCTCTTTTTCCCTCTCTTCTCCTTCTCTCCCTGTCACTCTGCCTTTCCAATTAATACTTTAAAAAAGTAACATTTTAGAGCTTGTGCTGTGGCTCAGTGGGTTAAAGCCACAGCCTACAACACTGGAATCCAATATGGATAATGGTTCAAGTCCCAGCTGCCCCACTTCTGATCCCACTCTGTGCTGTGGCCTGGGGAAGCAGTAGACGATGGCCCAACTCCTTGGGCCCCTGCACCCATGTGGGAGACCCAGAAGAAGCTCCTGGCTTCTGGCTTCAGATCGGCACAGCTCTGGCCATTGCAGCCAGTTGGGGAGTGAACTCTCTGTGCCTCTCCTTCTCTTTCTGTGTAACTCTGACTTTAAAAAAAAAAAAAAAGCATAGTAGCCAGGAGGTAGATTGGCACTTCAAATGAAATGTGGGAGTCTCAGGCAGAGGCTTAACCTGCTGTACCACAACACCTACTCCTAGGTACTGTCTTTTGTTTAAGGATTTATTTATTTATATGAAAGGCAAGGTTACAAAGAGATGGAGAGTCGGAGAAATCTTTCATCACATGGGATGACATTAAGGTGGTGGCTTAACCCACTCTACCACAAAGCCATCTCTCGCTCTCTCTCTCTCTTTTTTTTTTTTTTTTTGGTTTAGATTTATTTATTTATTTATTTGAGAGGCAGAGTGACAGAGGGAGAAATAGATAGAGATCTTCCATTTGCTGGTTCACTCCCGTGCTATCTGGGTCTTCCACATGGGTGGCAAGGGCCCAATTCCTTCTACAGTGCGTTAGCAGGAAGCTGGATCAGAAGTGAAGTAACTAGGACTCAAACTGGTATTCTTAACCTGGAATATGGCATTCTTATCTTAATTGGATTTTTATTGCCTTATCATTCTAGAAACTCTCCAGTCTTTTCTAATGTGTCTGACTTGGGTATCCTGCATATGTGTTTAATGAATGAGTGAATAAGTGAATATGTGTGTTCTAAAGAGACCGTTTTGTGAACTGAAAGAATTACGTGATCTGATGAATTTTCTGATTTAAGGTTTGAGAGATTAGAGTCCTGGCTGTATTTGCCTCCACCGTCTTGGCACAGTTGGGAGCCCTTTTTATACTAAAAGAAAGGTACGTTTGTGTATGACATTATTCTAAATTCTACCTATCACACCTTTGGGAACATGAAAGAAGCCAATGAAGGGCATCTGTTTTGAAGAGTTTACAGATTACAATGAGCAGTGCTGGAGTTTTTTATATTTTAGACTTTTCTACCTTTTCCATATATTTTACCTCTTTTGACGGTCTAAATTCAGTCATAAGCAGGTCTGTCAGACATGATTATGCTTACTATAAATGCCTTGAAGCAGGTTTGGTAACAGAGGGTTGGTGGTACATATTAATGCTGATTTGTGAGCCTCCTTGCCTTGTCACTGCTTATAATCAGTAGTTGATTATAATATTCAACTACTGTTTTGAACTGAAAGGTAGAGTAATTATATAATTACAAAACTTTCCAATTTTACAACTTATGTTTAATACATTTTTCTTTCTTGTAGTGCAGAACGCTTTTTGGAGCAGCCTGAGATACACACGTAAGATTTTATTTATTTATTTATTTTTATTTTTTTATTATTTTTTTTTTTTTAATTTTGACAGGCAGAGTGGACAGTGAGAGAGAGAGACAGAGAGAGAAAGGTCTTCCTTTTGCCGTTGGTTCACCCTCCAATGGCCGCCACTGCAGCCGGCGCACCGTGCTGATCCGATGGCAGGAGCCAGGATCCAGGTGCTTTTCCTGGTCTCCCATGGGGTGCAGGGCCCAAGCACCTGGCCATCCTCCACTGCACTCCCTGGCCACGCAGAGACTGGCCTGGAAGAGGGGCAACCGGGACAGAATCCGGCGCCCGACCGGGACTAGAACCCGGTGTGCCGGCACCGCAAGGAAGATTTTATTTTGACAATAACATCTAATTACTAGTTTGATTTCCAATTATTAATTGATATCTTAGTAAGTTATGTTGTCCAGTGTTCAGAGTGAGGCAGTAACACATTTTCACTGAATTTCACAAATCTCCAAATCCATGATTCCTTCTTTTCACACCCCCAAGTCCCAGATGGTTTTTACTAACAGGAAGGCCTTTCTGTTTTGGCTGCATGTCCCTCACTGTTTCCAGATGCAGCTTCTTCTATACTATAAATAAAATTTGACCCTCCCAAAATAGAAGAGAATTATATGTACCAGTCACGTTGTTGCCTATTATATGGGCCTTGCCTTTTCTGATGAGTTAATTCCAGAATTTTCTGATATGTCTTGTATCTTATCAACCAAGACTATTATCATTAATGCAATTTGTAGCAGCAATTATCCATAGAAGATATTAATGCTAAGAGTTCTTTTTTGTTCTGGTTAAGAAGAGTGACAGTAGACCAGACAAGGTTATAAGGCTAGAAACCAAGTTTAGATTCCAGCTCTGAAATCCTAACCTGGGAGCAAACTATATTTTCCCATCTCTTTGGTCTCTCTGCATAGCAAATTACACGTTGATATTTCCAAGGAATAAATAAGGTGAATGTTATTTGTTGTTCTTTCTAGGGGAAGATTATTAGTTGGTACTTTTGTGGCTCTTTCTTTCAACCTTTTCACGATGCTTTCTATTCGGTAATAAACCTTTTGCTATGTTTCTGAAGGTATGTTTCTTATTTACTATTAATTTTAAAAAATCCAGTTAATCTCTTATAAAAAGTCTTTGTTTCCTTAGCTTATAGTCATTGAGAAAGTATGTTCTGAAGAGAAGAAAGAATGAACCCAAAGGATTCTAAAGCTTTAAGCAGATAATTATAAACCAAAAATTTTTGGAACGATTATTTCTTTGAAAGGCAGAATTACACACATAGAGAAAGAAGACAGAGAGATCTTCTATCTGCTGGTTCACTTCCCAAATGACTGCAGTGCTGGGAGCTGAGCTGATCTGAAGCCAGGAGCCAGGAATGCTGGTGCCACAAGTGGCGGCTTTACGCGCTACGCCACAGCACTAGCCCCACAACAAAATCTTATTAGTTCAATCTTTAAATAACTTACTATTTAAAGATATGCAGCACTGACCTATCTATTGTTATATATGATGAGAAATATTTGCCAAATAAAATGAATGAGTTTAGATGTTTAATATACCTTAGAAAAGTCTGTTATAAACACTTTATTTTTATTTTTAAGATTTTATTTATTTATTTGAAAGGTGCAGATAGAGAGAGGGAGAGAGAGAGAGAGAGATCTTCCATCCTCTGGTTGACTCCCCAAATGCCTGCAACAACTTGGGCTGGGTCAGGCCAAAGCCAGGAGCATGCAGCTCCTTCTGGATCTCCCACGTGGAGTAGCAGGGACCCAAGCTGTTGGGCCATCTTCTACTTCTTTCCCAGGCACATCAGCAGGGAGGTGGATCAGAAGTGGAGCAGTCAGGATTTGAACCTGGAATGCCAGTGTCACAGGTGATGCCTGAACCTGCTGCACCAAAACACCAACTTCTGTTTTAAACATTTTTATTTTATTTTTAAATATTTATTTATTTATTTGAAAGTTGGAGTTGCACAGAGAGAGAGAGAGAGAAAGAGAGAGAGAGGTCTTCCATCCTCTGGTTCACTCCCCAATTAGCTGCAACAGCAGAGCTGTGCAATCCAAAGCAAGGAGCCAGGAGCTTCTTCCGGGTCTCCCACGTGGGTGCAAAGGCCTAAGGACGTGGGCCTTCTTCTACTGCTTTCCCAAGCCATAGCAGAGAGCTGGACTGGAAGTGGAGCAGCCGGGTCTCGAACTGGTGCCCATAGGGATGCTGGAGCTTCAGGCCAGGACATTCACCTGCTGCACCACAGCACCAGCCCCTGTTGTGAACGTTTTAGAAGCATCATTATTCTTAGAATAGTTGATAAGCTAATGGAAAATAATTATTCTGTTTGCTAACTAAACCCCAAGGAACTCTGTTTAGCAGTGGTAGATGGGCATATATTTGCGTTAGCAAAATTGTTTGCTTTGAAATACTCTCTATTTAGAAGGCTTCACAAATTCTCTGATTCACTTTAGTGTTCCATATTTATTGACATTTCAATAATTTCAGGGTTTTGGGATTATACTAATTCACAAAGGGTGTTATGGAAAAATGAGGTGAAAACAGAAGTGGGGTGTGTTGACATACTACAGTCTGAAACATAGAGAAGCACAAGTGAAAGAGGGTCTGTGAGACCTACAAAGATGAAAGCATTCTGAAATTCCATAAAGTTTAAAGATTTATTTATTTATTTGAGAGGCAGAGTTACAGAGAGAGAGAGAGCGTCAATCCTCTGATTAACTCCACAGGTGGCCGCAATGGCTGGAGCTGGGCCAATCCAAGGCCAAGAACCAGGGGCTTCTTCCAGGTCTCCCATGTGTGTGCAGGGGTCCAAGTTCTTGAACCATCTTCCACTGCTTTCCCAGGCCATCAGCAGAGAGCAGGATCAGAATTGGAGCAGCTGGGGCCGGCGCTGTGGCTCAATAGGCTAATCCTCCACCTTGCGGCGCCGGCACACCGGGTTCTAGTCCCGGTTGGGGCGCCGGATTCTGTCCCGGTTGCCCCTCTTCCAGGCCAGCTCTCTGCTATGGCCAGGAGTGCAGTGGAGGATGGCCCAGGTGCTGGGCCCTGCACCCCATGGGAGACCAGGAAAAGCACCTGGATCCTGGCTCCTGCCATCGGATCAGCACGGTGCGCCGGCTGCAGCGGCGGCCATTGGAGGGTGAACCAACGGCAAAGGAAGACCTTTCTCTCTCTGTCTCTCTCTCTCACTGTCCACTCTGCCTGTCAAAAAAAAAAAAAAAAAAATTAAAAAAAAAAGAATTGGAGCAGCTGGAACTTGAACCAGCACCCATAGGGGATGCTGGCACCATAGGCAGAGACTTAACCTCACTGGCATCTAAGCAGTTTCATATATGCTATGAACATGAGTTTCAGTTGTATGAGTTAGAGAGTTTAAGAAGTACTGCATAAATTAAAAACTGAATATGACACTTGTGATTACCATAACATTTTGAAAAAGCTTCTAATTTTTAAAAAATAGTCTAAACTTGGGCCGGCGCTGTGGTACAGTAGGTTAATCCTCCACCTGTGGCACCGGCGTCCCATATGAGTGCTGGTTCTAGTCCCAGCTGCTTCTCTTCCAATCCAGCTCTCTACTATGGCCTGGGAAAGCGGTGGAAGATGGCACAAGTCCTTGGGCCCCTGCACCCACATGGGAGACCTGGAAGAAGCTCCTGGCTCCTGGCTTTGGGTCAGCATAGTGGCCGATGTGACCATCTAGGAAGTGAACCAACAGAAGGAAGACCTTTCTCTTTCCCTCTGTCTTTGCCTCTCACTGTGTGTAATTCTACCTTCTCAAATAAATAAATAAATCTTTAAAAAAATAGTATAAACTCATTCTAGAGATTTTTAGAAAGGTACAAAGACTTAGAAATCCTATCTTTCTATAAAGATCAGAAAGGTATAAGAAAACTGAGGGCCGGTGCCGCGGCTCACTAGGCTAATCCTCTGCCTAGCGGCGCCGGCACACCGGGTTCTAGTCCCGGTCGGGGCGACGGATTCTGTCCCGGTTGCCCTCTTCCAGGCCAGCTCTCTGCTGTGGCCAGGGAGTGCAGTGGAGGATGGCCCAAGTGCTTGGGCCCTGCACCCCATGGGAGACCAGGAAAAGCACCTGGCTACTGGCTCCTGCCATCGGATCAGCGCAGTGCGCCGGCCACAGCGCGCTAGCTGCGGCGGCCATTGGAGGGTGAACCAACGGCAAAGGAAGACCTTTCTCTCTGTCTCTCTCACTGTCCACTCTGCCTGTCAAAAAAAAAAAAAAAAAAAAGAAAAAGAAAACTGATATCTTAGACTCAGAGATAACATCTATTGACACTTTTTTTACAGATTTATTTATTTGAAAAGCAGAAGGGCTGGCGCTGTGGTGCAGTGGGTTAAAGCCCTGGCCTGAAGTGCCGGCATCCCATATGGGTGCCAGTTCTAGTCCTGGCTGTTCCTCTTCCGATCCAGCTCTCTTCTATGGTCCAGGATATCAGTAGAAGATGGCCCAAGTCCTTGGGCTCCTGCACCCACGTGGGAGACCTGGAAGAAGCTCCTGGCTTCGGATTGGCACAGCTCCAGCCATTGAAGCCATCTGGGGAGTGAACCAGCAGATGGCAGACTTTCTCTGTCTCTACTTCTCTCTGTCACTGTCTTTCAAATAAGTAAAATAAATCTTAAAAAAAAAAAAAAGAAAGGCAGAGTGACAGAGAGAGAGAGAGAGAGAAAGAGATCTTCCATCTGTAACGGCTGGGGCTGGGTCAGGCCAAATCCAGGAGCCCAGAGCTTCATCAGCGTCTCCCATGTGGGTTGCAGGGGCCCAGGTACTTGTGCCGCCATCCTTTGCTCTTTTCCTGGGTGCATTGAATTGGAAGCAGTACTTCCGGAATGTGAACTGGCACTCTAATATGGGATGCCCATTTCACAGGCAGCAGCTAACCAGCTGCTCCACACCCTCACCCCACATCTGTTAACATTTCTATTTTATTCTATTTACTTTTTTCTATACACACATATGTATTATCTAATGTATTTCTAACTTTTTATAAATAATGCTGTCTTTACCCTTTTTTTTATCAAATTATGTTTTTCTGACTCAGGGAAAAACTTATTAACTAGATTAAAAATATGTTTTTGAAAGGCTTTGATATATACACATACTGCCAAATTTATTTTCAGAAAGGTTATATATTTTGTATTTTCATTGGCTGGAAATGAAGGTCCCCAGAAACGTCAAGATTTATGTAATTATTTGAAATTTGAGAGGAAAATAATATTGAACATTTTGTGTATGCTAGCACTTGATTAAATGCCTTATATAGAATAACCTATTTAATTCTCCCCATAACTTTATGAAATAATTTTATTATCTCCATTTTACTTTGAGGTATACCGATAGAATAAATCACTTACCCAAGGCCACACATGCAGTTGTAAGGAGAACTGGGATTTAAAACCAGATATTCTGGCATCAGAGTCTTTTCTGAGCTGCTCTACTGTTCTTTTCTATGGGCTTTGCAATCTTTTTTACATCGTAGTACACGTAAAAAAATGAAGGGGCAGGCATTAGCGTAGTCATTAAGATACCACTTAATACACCCACATCCATATCAGAGTGCCTAGATTTTTTTTTAAGATTTTTTTATTTATTGATAGGTAGAGTATAGACAGTGAGAGAGACAGATAGAAAGGTTTCCTTCCGTTGATTCACCCC